CAACCTGCAACATCCCAAAACCTGCATTTGAGCTCATAGCACTAGACTTTCAAGATTACTTACCCGACGTAAATGACAAGACAAAATCAGCCCTTTGCCCCGCACACACCTCTAAGCTGAGTTCAATCCATTGAACATTTCCAAACCTTCATGTTCAGGAACTTTCCATCTTTAAAATCACGAGTTGACAAGTTTAAGTCCTAAGATTACGACGATCGATTAACAGGAGTTGAAATCAACCCAATACCTGCCTTACATGGCTTAAAAGGAGCGAAGATAGTTCTTGCTATCACCCATTAAACGAAAAGGTGCAAAGGATTTAAAACGGTCTTCTACACTAGCCCATTTCTTTTTGCTTCTTGGCCTGGTAAACATGGCTGACAATTTCATGTTTGGGCCACGTGACTTTAATTCCTCACGAGACCTTCTCGACTGAAAAAAAACATGTGCACACGCGCGTAAATACAATCAGCTTTCACACCCCTCCCTTCGAGATAAATTGTCACAATTTTGCAATATTCTTATTAATTATTTTACAGATTAAAATTAACATTACATACTATTCCACCATCTTAAGTATGTCCTTGAATTATCCACCCTATATTTTCTCCTACAAACGCATATATTTTTAAAAGTTCTTTTTGTTTCAGGCTTTTGACCTAATCACAACAAATTTTTACACCCAAAACCATCTGGCATATTGTTTTATCTGATTCAACACTTAATTCACTTGAAAGAAAAACTTTAACTTTAAAATTCTTACTTAGTATAAAACATTTTTAACTTAAGTTAAAAATTCAAGAAAACTTTACTGATGAAAACAATACATTCAGTCAGCAACAACACATTTACAACAACACATTAAAGAATTGAAATGCTTCTCAAACTAGCATGGTTTTCACTACTCAAGCAAATCATTTCAGTACTAGTGAAGTGATACACAACACTATCCAGTGCAGGGTATCCAAGTTGTAGTTATATGCACCTCTGAACACACAGCCATGTACAATGATTACCCTGCTTAAGGAGCTATGTACAATAGGCCACTTACCCTAAGAGGTCACGTGACCAATGCTTCCTTTAAACAATGAGTTGGAATCTCGCTGATGCCAAAAATTGACAGAGCACTCAAAAATTATCTTACACCCGAAATTTGAGAGGAAATGCATTTAAGGGAGATATTTAGTCGCACTGTGATTTTTCAACAAAGTAGTGTGATTTGCATGTTGGAGGGCAAGAGTATGCCCTCCAACATGGCAGCCAAAACTACGTTTGCTTATATCTTGGCAAACATTTTATAGTTACACTCAGATGTGCTGCAAAGATTACCACATCATCTTTTCATCATTTTTCTTGAAGTTTGAAAGCAAAATTTGTGTTCAGAAAGAGGTAATTCATTTTTCATTTAAAAATGACATTTTGGTCACTTGACCAGCTACGAACTTACTTATTTTAAGAAAATGGTGTGGGTTTGAAAAACCAAATCACTATTATTTTGTTTAAGATATGACCCAATAATCGTTTTTCAAAGGCAAAGTCAAATAACTTTCATTGTCATAAAACGATGTCACATGACCTCTTAGTACAAATGGCCTATAATTTGAATAATGTGAGGGGAGCTTAACCCTTTAAACCCTGAGATCAAAATTTGAATTCTCATTTGTTGCCCTATTCATTTCCTACAGAAGTAGTGGGGAGAAGTTGATAAAATATCAAGCAAATTTATCTTGTGTGATCTTGTCTGTAATTCTCATGACTGCTCTGGTTTACTAAGCATTGATATCACAAGGAGAAATTTGATGCTGATCACTCTTAGGGCTTAAAGGGTTAATGACTCATCAGTGTGACCTACTCTCCATGCACAGTGAAGCAAATTCTTATTGCATCACAACAAGTAATACAAAATAAGACATTACTGAGTATATGGTCCTTTAAGAATCATGCTCATAGACTCTAGGAACGCTACTCCTAACCTAGGGAGTACTATTACTAGTAATTATAATACTTGGCTAGTGTCTTCTGTTGTGTGATCAAACTTAGGGCAGTTTCTTTCTGCCTCCGGTTCTGTTTCAATGTGAGTCAAATTCGGTGTTCGACGTGTCTGTCGTCTGGCTGGACGTGGATTGAAGAGATCTCGGTATGATGTCATGATTTGACCATCTACATTTCTCACGACTCCTCTCCTTTGTTCCATAGCTGCGAGGTCCATCTCGTGAATGAGACTTTGTTGAACACTATCATCTTCTGACTCCGAATCCACATCACTTTCTTCTACATTGGACTGAGCAATGTTTAACTCTCTTCTATAATTATCTGATAATTCATCTAGCTCAGTGCAGTACTAGTTTGTAAATGTGAATAAGACATTTCCACTTTGCCAACCTGAACTCAGTTCCTCTACTAGAACAACGACTGGGATTTTATTGTCCTTGATGATGCTTCCAAAATAGACCTTGACAGGGTTAGGCAGCAGTGAAAAATGCTTTCCAGGAATAGAATCCTTACTAGCTGCTTGCTCATTCAGCCAAAATCCAAATACATGGCACCCAGGTCTATCTCTATTTGATTCATGTGGCTTGTTGACCTGAAGCCACCACTCATCACCACTGGGGACACCATCGTCTGTTCCATGGTTAACTGCAACGATATCCCCTGGAACAAACAAATAATTGTTGGAGGGGACACGGCCAATCTCTGGTGTGTTGTCTCCTCTTCTGATTTCTAGCGCTCTCATCAGTTCACTAAAAGCTGGATAATGCAGCTGGATTTGGTCTGTATTGCCTTGTAATAGCACATCTTTTTGAATGATGACACAGGGGCCATACCCACATTTATATCTGTACAAGTCCCTGATGTTTTGTGATGGTCTAGCTTTGGTCAAAGAATAGAGCATTCTCACTACCGTAAGGTCTTGTTTTGTCTGCTCACAAGATTCCTGGCTTTGAGGCGGATGGAACTGTTCACACCATTTCCTGTACTGTGTAATGGTTTTAACAGAAGACAAATTGGACCTGTGGCTTGGCTGGTAGGCACTAAATGTGTTTGTGTGATATGCATGTGGACACTGACATGTCTTCTTGATTAGCTCTACTTCATGACGATCTTTACTGCGTACATACTGCTGGAGAGTAGGGTGCCTGTACTGCCCATTCTGTTTGAGCTTCGCAAAACCATGTTCCTTGCGGGACTCATTGACAAATGCATAAAAGTTAAACTTGTCCAGAACATCATGCAAATCTGCCTGCTCGAATGATTGGGTATGTGCCTCCAGACCCTTAACAGTCTCTGCAAAGCCATTGACTGAACCATAGTATACAGTTCCCTCAGGGCCAGCTGTTGCCATCTTGAGGTAGTCTTTCCATTGGGCTGTTAAGCTCTCCAGGTAGGCCAATGAATCAATAACTTTCTCTGTGCTTTCAACAAATGGGACGGCAGGTCTCATTCCAATCTGAGCTAGTCGATTCTGCTCCTTTTTAGGAAGAAATCCTATGGCATGGTAAATTTCTGGAACCTTGCTCATAAACGTACATGCAAATTCTACAGGGGTGTGGATCTTTATGTAGCCATTTTTGCTTCCACCAAAGCAACAAAAAATTGCACTGTTAAAATCAAAACATAGCCCTGTGGGTTCTGAAAGCTGAGCCTTAGCTGCTGGACCATCAGAGTAGCCAAAGATTCCATTTCCAATTGTACTTTTAATGTTGTACATGCGGGTGCCATTTTGTTCTTTGAGAATGAAGATTTTGTGTCCTTTAACATCTGTGACACCCAGATTCCCACTCACTGACAATGCAACATCAAACGCCTGCTGGAATCCATCGCAACTGATTCTAACAGATTTTTCTTCTAAGTTAATTTCTTTGATGCTGTGCCCATCGGCTACAAAGACAGTTCCTTCAGTCCTACTTGGGCAAAGCCCATGTGGTGCCTCTAAATTGTCCACAACTTTAACAAGTTGGCCAGCATTATAACTGGTCTCCATATAAACAAGGTTAACAGTGGTCCCTTCTGTAACTGCTAATGTGTCTTTGGAGATAACTGCAAGACCTTCAGGTTTCCAGTTGGCAGGGATGGACTGTACTTTTAACGTGCCAACAAATTTATCCCCTTGAAATGAGTGTACACCTTTAATGAATCGAATGCAAGAGTTTCCTTTGTCATAGACAAAGGCAATTTCATTTTTTCCAGGTTGGATCATAAGCACATCAATAGCAGCAGGATGACTAAATGACGCCTTGGATGCTATCACAGGGGATTGATGTGCTGGACCTAAAACCAAAAAAAGGAAAACAAAACTATCATGACTGGCAATGCACATTCTACACAGATGTGTAGTTCTAGCTCTAGCTCCTTACACAATTTTTCATGTGTAAAGGTACAATGTAGCCTGGTCATATAAAAATGATACTGCAACATGATTTGCTGTTGCAGCGTATTGAAGGTGTTTGTAAGAAATACAGGTAGTTTTATTCTATGAAGCCTTTTAATGACTACAAATACAAATTAAGTCTCAGAGATATTTCAAATGGGTTTCTGGAAAATGGTAGTCTTTGACATACCTGTAAAGAGTCAATTTTTGTTGTTATATTTCTCATTTTATATGAGCACTGTACTAACTGAATGGTAAATTGAGCATCAAGGAGTACTTTGAACTAAAATCATATCTCCCAGATGTACATGTACTGTAAGACATGTATAATTGACTTTAGATAAAGCCACACAATTGGTATCACCTCAAAGACAAAGAACAAACTTAAGTACCTGGATTGTTAAATGTTCCCAGTGCAATACACTTGGTTCATACTCAGCATCTGAAAGGTGTCACATAAAAATGTTCAAATAAAATAAGCTAACTTGCTATAACATGTTTCCAAAATCCATCCCAAACAAAAATCTGAGGCTTTTATTTTACAAGGCATCTTACACTTCTTTAAAATACAGACTTTGTTTCGTTTCTTGTCTTTTTTCTCTTTAAGACAACCATGACAGAATTCCATAAAAGGATGGTAAAAATGTTATTAAACAACACGATTTGTTTTAACTGCTCTTATTATATAGACATGAGTGTTTTATTGGAAAATATACCACTCGTAAAATTCATAAAAGCTACATCCGGGACCCAAGTGGTTTATTTTCCATAATCTCACGTGAGTTTATCGATGATGTAATTTCGGTAATTTCCCTCTATTATTTTATCGATGTCTTTTCGTCTATATAATAAAAAGAACATTACACGGCGGCTTGAAGATATGAATTTTATTTTCTCGTGGCAAAAACAATATTTTACGAATGAGCGCACCGAGTGAGTAAAATATTGTTTGGCAACTCGAAAAAAAATTCATATCTTCGCGCCACCGTGTAATATCCTCTATATCTTACACATGCACAAATATTTAATATTTAAAGGCTATTTAAAACACTAAACAAACATTGCTATATGATGTGCGCAGTCATAGTGTTAGGGAAACTATCATATGCTTACCAGTCCACAGTATGTCTCCATTTGCATTTCTTGTGGCATAAAGTGACCGGCCAAGTATGCCATGGGTTTTTGCTTCAACAGCAGTGGGCTTGTACTGCTCAGGTACCAATGTTGTCACGATAGCTCCAGTTTCTTTCACAATGTCTTCCAATGGCTTGGAAACTGTCTGGTATCCAATTTCATCACTATGTGCATCTTTGAATGCAAATACAGTTGCTGGAGTCACACTTCCCCATTTTCTTTGGCCTCTGAAGTGCTTGATGCCCAAACTGAGGACAGCAGCCCCACAAAGAAAGTCCCTGACATATCTGTCAGTCTGTAATGACGTAAAGATGAAATACAGTTCTTGCAAAAATGCAAGAGTCAAAATCGATAGTTCACATTATTGGAAGCAACACTTTAGTTCAATGTGTGCTTTGCGTTGTGAAGGTGCTTGGTCTGAAGAAACATGTATGCACCTTGCACTAATACAACTATGACTTTCAAGATCTAGCCTTTCACATCTGGTGCAAACGTCCTTCAAAGAAGGATATCTGCAGTTCTTGGCATTGCCTGCCAAAAGACAGTTGCTACAGGCTTCCAGGCGTTCGAGAACTTCACTCAAATCCCTTTTGACACTTCCAGCATCACCACCAGCAGAAGTGAACTTAGTAAACATGTTAACATGAACTTGACCAGAAGCATCACAGACATCAAATTCCTTGACTTCACTGATCCATGAACAATTATCCGAAATGTACTTATGAGCAGCAGTATTGCCTTCCTGGTAAAGTTCTCTCATTTGACACAGTTCTATTTTGGGGATGATTCCATCAAAAAATGTTTCACCATTTTCCTGTCTAGGAAAGGTCCCAGTATTCAAAGGCATTCCATCATAATGAACAACGGTAAAAAATTTCTTTCATCCTGGTGCTTCAAAACAAGGAATACCATCAAGAGAGTCTAATAAAGTTAACAACATGATATTGTTTAGATGTCGATCAGAGTCCGTAGTCACTAAAACATGGAACGACCTAAAACCACCTACAACCACCTCAAAAAATTCAACAACCACCTACAACCATCTACAACCACTCGCAAACAATCTAAAACCATCTAAAACAAGGTATAAATGTCTCAAATAAGGCGAGACGATAACATGTCACGTACATGAAATACGAGAATCGAACAAAACATCCACCTCCCCCCAAAATCGTACTCTCCCTGGTCCCTTTTATGATCAACCTTTGGCTTAAGTCACGAAATGAAATGCGAGATCATGCTAAGTATATTAAAAGACTTAAAGAACTTTACAAAATGAACTATCAAGTCACAAAAAATAATAAAATAAAATAACAAACTCGTAGTCGAAAGACTGACTTGATTTGGCTTTTTCTACCCTGGTACCATTGAGACTTTTTGGTTGACGTTTCATTTGTTTACATAATAGAGACCTTTAACATCACGTTTTTCATGGGAAACGGCAAACCGCAAACCACAAAATGTCATGTGACCTCGGCCTTGCGGTCACGTTTGCAGTTTGCAGTTCACGTTTGAACCACAGGAAGGGCTTCCAGCGGTAAGTAATTTACGGCAAGGTTTTTTGCCCCCAAAAATTGTACAGCCTCGCGTTTAAAGGTATGAACTAGCTTTTTATATCCGTTTGCGATGTGTTTGTTGGATTTCTGATCTCCAGTCAATGAATTATTGCTGATTTTTGGGCGATTAAAGTGATGCACTTCGACTTGATGAAAACAACACGGCTAAACAATGAACGCGTAGTTCAAATTAATTTTATATATCTTTCTGCCGTGCTAACAAAGGAAAGTATTCTGTTCCAATCCAGAGTTAATTTTTTTTCTCTATCTTGTTACTGAATTCATAACTTAAATCAGTCTCTCTTTAGTTCCTATTTTTAACGTATCTCTCCGCGAATTTACCTGATGCTAAAGGTCTCTAATAGCACAAGGTAGGGTTTCTCTCTCTTTCGGACTGCTTCACTGCGGTTTTGTTCTGAGGTGGCGGATTACATTCCTAAGAACAAGTTAATTTTTTTAGCATCTGTTTATCGTCCACCAAACATGTTTGTACATTCCCGGTGACTCCTTTAGATTAACGCTAGTGTCATTTATAAACACGCGTTTCCTGTGTCATCACGCAAGGCTAACAAGTCTAAACTCACTTGCGTCACGACACAGAAAACGGAGACTAGTAGGTGTAATCATTGTTAAAAATGTTATGAAAATAAAATCTACAATGCAATGGATTCAGAAAACAAGGTAAGACGAGCCGAAATTGATAAAAACGATTTGAAAAATTGTAAAAGTGAATGATTGTATTTAAAGTAATTTACCTGGATGTTTATATACCTTTATTATGTTTTGGAACCCAACTCTTCTTGGGAATGATGGGATATGCCCGCTTCTTGTTTTCGCTTTGCTCATGGTCAATACGTCCCCACCATACTATCTGAGAGCCTGGCACAGGCTAGAGTAGCTGGTACTTTACGAGCTAAAACGGAAGGAAAAATTTGGATCACATATTCGGGTCTTCCCTCCCCGCCAAGGACCGTTAATGGTAAGAACGTTTTGATTCATTTTGCTGAAAAGAATTATCAAATATCATTATATAATCTTTTCTAATTCTTGCAACTGTAAACGGGTTAATAGCTGTATAAAATAAGGCTCTACAAATGAGACACGTTCACAGTAGACTAAAGGATTCTGCGGGACTACATTTCAGTTCACCCTAAAAAAATGGGGAGGAGGGGGTGGCTAGGACTAAAAAAAGAGGCTACTAGAGAAAAGGGTGGGCCGGGGTCAGAGGCTAAGATTGGAAAGTAGAAGAGACTGGTTGAAACGATGTATCATGGTTTGCTTGTGTTTCCCGAGACTTTGAATCCCAAAACTAAAGTTTAGAACTTTATATACAGTCATAATAGTCATCTTGAATTCTATATGTGTAGTGTAAACGCATTGTTTTATCGAATTCCCAACTCCTGCGAATAGCGAATATGGAAACTCTTACGAATCTGGAAAAGTTTCGTCTAGTGTAAACGTCTGGAAAGCGATCAGGGAAAGTTGGTCGGCAGGCAGTCTTGAAGAAAAGCGTATTTGTAATGCAGAAAAGACACTAAGTTCATCAATATAAATCACATTTTATTTTTTAAAAGATGATGCTGATGTTACATATGCCGGGGCCCACTGTCCGAAGGCCGATTAGCTCGAAGGCAGGGTTATATTTTAACTCGGGTTTCTTTTCCTCTTGTTAAAAAGCATTTTCTCCGATAATTTTCTCTATTTTTTTTTTCAGAGCATGCAGTCAAATTGTATTAAAAAAAGAATTATACTGAAAGTGCTTTTAAGGCTCTCATATCTGATTTAAATTTAATTTGCACTAACCCTGGGTTACCTTAACCCTGCTTCGATCTACCCGGCCTTGAAAGACAGTAGGGTTATTTCCATAAACCTTTTAATTGCGATGTCAAAAGTACATTGCAATGTCTGCTTTACGCTGCAGTGCTAAGTGTATGAAATCCGCTACATCTACATATATACCCATCCATCTTAAATAAGGCCTGATTCAAATGTCGTGCTAATGCCGTTCTAAGCTAGCTCGACTTCAGCACAAATTTTAAAATTCAGTCTTTTCAACCTAGATACAAGTTCCAATTTCTTTCTTTTTGAACTGTAACCTACATATATTTCGAAATACACGTATGACTAAATGTGTTTTCTTAAACCTTTGTCAACTTTCATACAAGTTGCTTTAATTCCTAACTTTTTAATTGTAACACCCATGTAATTTTCGAATCAAGAATGGAAATCTAATGCGTTTTCATAAACCCAGTTTTTACTAAAAGTGTTTGCAACTTTTTTGACAAGTCGCAATTTCTTTGAACTGTAACCAACAAATATTTACAAATTATTCCTCGAGACCGAATGGGCTCTGAGTCAATAGCCCATTCGGCCTTCGGCAACTGCTATGCGAGTCGCAATTTCCTTAATTTTGAACTGTAACAAAAAAAAAATACATTCACTTTTCTGGAAGGGACCATTTGCAGAAATTGAGGACAGTATGGCCGCTAAGCATGGCATTACGGATCCTAATGACCTTTAAAAGTGTCTAACTCTAGTAAGGATTTGTATGGCGAGAGAGAAATTCTTAATAATTACATTGAACTGAAAAGGAATTTCACACCTGCAAACGTCTGTATGTTATTATGGCAGAATGAGGCTACTTTGTGCCAAGTTTTGAGGTCCTCGGTTCCTCGGCAGATTACGCCAGCGCCATACAACAGTCATATTGATCTCGCCATACAAACACTGTATATCAGCTAAAATTACCAATATTTAAGAAGAGAAAGGTGTGGCCAAAAACCTGCGAACGTCGAGGTACAAACTTGGGCCTATTATCTTTCATTTTAAACGATTTCTACGGCAGAATGTTGCATCCAAAAAGTTCCTCAAGAAGTTAAAGATATTGATGAGTTTACGAGCCAATGGCGCCCGAAATTGCCGAAGAAATGAACAGTTTTTGTCGCTTCTGCAGCACAAAACAAGATACCACCACTTTTGAACATCAAACTCGGAAAAGCTTACATGGAAAATATTATAATTCGTGGGAAAACCACTGTTTTGCATACATAGCAGCCTCCGATTGTATTTTTTATCTGGCTATGGAGTGATGTCCGTGACAACAAGCGTGACTAGAACGTATGGGTATGCGCAACTCTGTTGTTAACGAAAGAAAGCTTTTGGTGCTTTTACATTGCCTTTAAAGATGTAAAATATACTTTAAAGCTTGATTCTTTACTTTTAACAACAATTTTGACATTTCTGTGCGAATATTTTGAAAGAAATGGAAAACAAGCATGAGCCCGCAAATTGACCGCTGGCTGTCTCTGATTTCTGCCCTACTTCTCTATAATGAGCCCTTTGGCTTCTAGTACTGCCTGCCCTCCTTCAGGAAGAAATGGAAGGGTACGGGCAGGCACAGTAATGGCAGAAAAAGAAAAGTTTTGGTCGTACTCCTTGAGACATTGTTTGAGGTAATGGAAGTAAACATTACCCGAGTATTTGACTACTTTGCCGGTCTTTTCTATACGTTCTCTAATTCCCACACTTTTCACTATCACCTTGTCTGTCAAATTAAACGCTGTCCTACACTGTTCGCATCGCTGGACACTCTTGGGGCAAAGTTTGTGGTCGTCCCTGCTCACTAACTGGTACTGTTTTCCAGTAATTCTCTCCGGGTCCAAGCAATCCAGCGCAGGACCTTTGGTCGAGCTTTTTGTAACCTACAAGAAAAAAGGTTTCCGTCACTCACATTATTCCACAAAAGGACCTATTGATTTTCACGACAAGGGCCTATTTCATCCTACTCGTGATTCCCATAATGACGGGCCGTCTAGGTATCCATTTCCTATTATGCTGCAGTGTTACTAAAAAGTTGGTGAGAAACACAACACGACCAATATTACGATGACGAAAATAACAAACGAAAAAAAAAAACCCAAAAATACACGCAAATAAAGTACCTGAAATAGAATGGTTAGATAATTATAAAAGGGACCGAAAAACAAAATTAAAACTAATAAACATACAATTGAAATTGTAAAAGTAAAGGAAATAGAGTTACAATTACCTCCCACTGATTATTATTGGCGCCTTTGTAGAGTCGCAAGGGAGTCACCACTTGAGCCTCTGGATCGGTTCTAGTTAGAAATAGCTCCGGCTCTGGAAGGTTGCATCTTCGTACTTTCTTTGAAGGAGCTGCCTTGAAACCAACAGCACTTGGCTTCTTGTAAGTGTTGTAAGATTTGAGTGTAAATTGCCGAAAACTCGACAAATGCTGCGCCTGTCGCTGGGGACCCCATTTATTCCAGGTTACGGGATCGACCAGGAAGTGTTCATATCCCGGAGCAAGGCGATATTTGCCCAAACCTCTCAGGGCCCTTTCCTCTTCTGCGTAGAATTCCTTGGTCCAACCTTCCAGTGTTTCAGTCACTTTGGCAACTTCTTTTGGCACTTCGCTCTCCCGCAAGCGTTTTTTTTGTAGCTTATGTTTCAATTCAAGCCCGTTGGTATAGAAACGTCCGCTTAGCCCAAGTTCTTGGCGAGCTGAATAAATGAGGCAGGTCTTGAATTGTTCAGAGCGGTGCTTGTCAAACCATTCATAAAAACCTGGGACCAGGCCATCCCAGACGTCCTTCAAGCTCGCTAGCTTTGCTTCATAGTCAGCTGGGTCTTCTGAGTCGGCTAGACCGTTTTCCAATAGTATCTGTTCTTGACATCCGTAGATGTCAGCCATAATTCTCCTCTGTGTCCTTTCGTTACATCCCATTGTTTTCAGCTTTTGGGCATCTCGTTCTTTCATTTGTTGTGTGCACCACACGTTTTGAGCCTCCTCAAAAATATCTGTCATGCCTTTGGCTATTGCCTTGTCGAGGTCATGACCAACCTTCTTGATTTTAAGTAGCTCTGGCTTGGCAATGGCTAATTCACCTGCAAACCTGCGATAGGTTTCGCGGTCCTTCTTAAAGTGCCAGAAACTGGGGCCCGGAAATTCAGGGTGCTTTCCGTTTCGGTGGTTTATCAGGGCCTCGTGACTGAAAGTGGTGTCTGTAAGCCACAAACCATCAACTAGTTCGAAGGTTGTGTCCACTTGCAATATACTGTTCCCAAGTACACAGAATCTGTGTACATCGTCTAGCACATGTTCTGGAATATTTACACGAGTATTGTGTTTTCGTAAAAGACACAGTATTTATGCTTGATACACTCTTAAGGCTCGATATCAACGATTCCGCTTCGCTGTGCTTCTCAGCAGTATTCTGCGTTTCTTCAGATGCTTTCTTGTGGAACTTTCGGTTTTCTATCATTTTTGGTCCTGAGATAGTCTCACTCACAGTTTGACAAACTTGTTTTGACATTGTAGCGTATATGTTATCAACAGACAGTCCTTGGTCTAGATACTCGTCAATCGTCTCAGAAACTACGGGGTCTTTCCGGAAATAAGCTGATGCCGTAGGTTTCATGGCGTTACCATGGCGCTGCAAGATAAACTCTTTAGTTCCACCTGCCCACTTATACATGACCAAATACCAAGGTTTTGGCTCTCGTTCATTGACTGCTTTAACTGTGACAAAAGTCCTTGAAAATGACGGGTTGGCTTTGTTCGTTTTGTAATATCTGGTAAGTTCATAAACCTCCTCGGTCGGAACATGATCCTTTTTGTAGCCTTTTGCTGCTTTTCTATTGGCAAAGAACACCCCGTTTTCCAAATGGACTGTGCGAGACCCAGAGGTGCTGCTGTATTGGTAGTAGCGCTTTGCATTTCCTTTTGAAATGTATGCTCCGTTATCATCTGCTTCTGCAGAAGCTATAGGTATCACCCTCTGATCGAGAGTAAAAATCTTATCCTCCCTTATAGCAGAGGGCTTGTGTCTCAAATCTAGTTCTTCAGGATTGTCAAGCAGGATGTTTAGGATAGTACAATGGTCCATATCTTCTGTTGTTTTCAAGCTTCTAAAAAAACAATAAGTTTCTGTTTGAATAACCTAGTTTTGATAAGTTGTAATCTATTACACACCGAGGACCCCATTTTTGAGACTCATCTATAGAGGAGGGTTTTATGGAGACAAAGTGACTGATGAATGATGATTAAAAAAAGATTGAATAAATAAATAAAACAGTGAATAATCACATGAATGAATGAACAAAATGAATAGAAAATCTCATGGGATATCATCGGCAAAAGCAATAACCAATGCTATGCGTTCTTTTGCTGCGCTGTGCTATGTTATGTCATGCTATGCCATCCCGCTCCATCCTCCATCCTATCCTATCCGATCCTATCCTATCCTATTCCACTCCATCTTATCCTTTGATAAACTTTCTGCCAGCCTTATCATATCCGATCTGGTCATATGCTTTGTATTCTATTGTGTTCCGTGTTGTTCTGCTCTGGTCTATAGACTGTTCTGTTGCGTTAATTATTATTTATTCGCTTATACTACTACATGAGAAATGTCTGCAGTTTGATTAGCTTCTGTCTTAATTTGAAGTACCTACAAGTGAAAAGTACGAACCTTTTGCGGGCAGTAGCATAATAAATTTTTATTTATAAGCAATTTTGATATATCACGAGTGGTATTTATTATGCCAAATATCACTACAAATCATGCTTTTATACCTATACTAATGGATTCACCGTAATCTTGTTTATTCGGTTCTATTCAAGGTCGCAACCTATTTGTAATAATAACTAAATAAAACAAGTTTGTAAGTCCTAAGTTTTAACTATTATGTGGGTAACTCGAGCAGAAACGCCATTCGCTTACCCGAAGAAAACGCCTGTAGTCTAGGCTACTTACGGGAGATATCTAATGGACAGTCCAAACAAAACTGGAGTGACTAGTTCCGTTTCATTATATAAAAACAAATGTTCCTAACACGTTCGTGATTATCCACTTTCACAGTCATAGTCGCAGTCCTATTTATATAGATACATATTTGTTTTCTGGAAATGACAGTGGAGGCGAGGAGCATCCCCCTCGAGGCATTCTGCCTAAAGAACTCAGTCCCCGTCTTATTACCCAGTCTTAAGCCCGCATTTCATATACCTAGCCCCAGTTTTATATCCGGTCCGAAGTTTTATACCAAGTCCGTGCTTTATACTGACCCGGTTTTGGCTTACTGTAACAACAAACTCAAACAGTTACATACTTGTCTTTATCCATGAACAGAGGCATGTTTTCTGTATCTTCTTCCATCTGTGGATAAAAGGAAATATAGGGAACTATAATATAATAATATAATATAATAATAATTATATTAGTCGTGGCAACGTTGCTTTCACTCGGTGGGCGTAACGGGTACAACTAAATAAAAGGCTATGAAAAAGAAAGTCAATTTTCCGATTTAATGAATATTTGGTCAAAAATGTCGTTATCAACAGTGCCACCCGCCTTAAGTTTACATTTAAGAGGCGAGTTCAAAATCAAATTTTATAGAAAAAATCCGATGATGTTTTAGGGGATCTAAGTGGATTATAAACATCGGAATCGCCCGTCAAAGACTTAACTAGGCTCGATTTCCGCCGTCTCCCGGGTCTGGTCGTTGATCCTCCTCCTCCCGGGGGGATGAGTGTGGGCTCATTTTCCCGAACAGCGGCTGGTAATTCAACCCTAACTTCGAACCCGCTTCTCCCACTTTGGTTTGCATGGGTCCCCTGTGCAGTAACCTCATCCATCAATAGCAGCTTCCGGAAAGAAAACAAATTGCCTCCTTCATTTTCGGGTTTTAAATCTCAAAAAATGTCTCCATGAATCCAGTTATGATGGTTCTCAGAAACAGACAATGATGAACAGTCCTTAAACAAATCAGCAAGTGTCAAGTGTTCATCTTTGGCTGCTCGAAGCGTTCCCCATGATTTCAAAACTTAATGGCAGTATAGTCTTTGTCAACGATTATGTGTATATATAAACATTTGGAGAGTTTTCGCGACACGAGTTCACAAATCTTTAATTGGACACTCTGGGCGCTTTCCATTGAACCCAAAATTCCGGAAATTTTTGTTTACACGTCGAAGGTTTGGTCAGACCCGAATATTCGGGATCAGCTCAGGAGGTGGTCCACTTTGATCGATCTGGTCATTTCGATCCGTCGGACCGAAGTGTCCCTTTCCATTGGCAAAATTGTTGTCCCCAATACCCCTCTCTTGTATCCTGCTTACAAGAACAATAACCAAACGCGCGGTGGCCTAAGGTCGGGTCTGTTCAACCGGAATGTACCTTTCCATTGGGCACGTGGAACTTCCGAAAATTTCAAACCGGAATTTTTGTTGAATGGAAAGCGTCCTCTTTCTCTCTCTTCGGGGGAATAACACTCAGTCCCAAAGAAGCAAGACGAGTGAATCAGCGGCTAGATTATCTCTAGCAGAACGATGAATGATTACAGAATTCGCCGACAATCATATTAGCTGTGGTCACACTACGGACTTTTACCAAGGTAAAACCGATTTTAATACCTAGGGCAAATTCATCAAAAATCTTCCGAGGTAAATTCATCTCGCGGTTTGTTTTACCTAGGTAAAAAATTCTGGGAAGGTCGCACTACTGATATCGGCTCCCAAGGTTTTCACGCACAGTTGAAATTTTTTGGAGCATAAATTCAAGAAAGCAAGATGCGCGGGGATCTAGCCGATCAAAGGGACGTTTTTTTCTTTTATCTCCCTGTTACTTCTTACGTTAATTCAACGTGTCGAGGTGAAACAGGCGAAGACGTAGACGACCCGTCCCCCCCCCCAAATTTTTTTCACCGCGTGAGCTATGTCCGGTTCTGTCCTCAAGACCCTCGCCGATGAGTGTCTATTGGCTAGCAACCTAGGTATTTCTTTTTTCCCAAGCTATCGCTTCGGGGTAGCTGTCAAGGGAAAGTCTATTGTTCTCGAGACATGTCCAAGCCCCAGACGATAAAATTTCCCCGAGGTAAGTTACCTAGGGAAAAATCAGTCACACTTTAAAAAATCAATTTTCGCTAGGTAAAAAGTCTGTAGTGTGACCACAGCTATAGTGTGCTGACTTATTCCTTGCTCGCCGATGTCCTTCCGGGAATAATACAGTGTTAAAAAAACTAGAACGCGCGAGCGTGAATTGATCAAACCCGTTCATTTCTAAGACCCTGTTTACATGGAGTGGGGGACCCCGGTCTAGTGGGGTAAGTTTCTTTTGTTTTGTGTCCCCCAGAGCGTGAAAACAAAAGAAACCAACCCCACTAGACCGGGGTCCCCCACTCCATGTAAACAGGGTCCTTATTCAAATGAAATGAACTGTATGTAAAAAGTAAAAGAGAAATCGCGAAAAAATAAAACTTCTAATTAATTTTTGTCGTATGGTTTAGAATAAATTATGATTTCAGATCAAAGCTGCGTAAATCGAACTGAACCAGTGCATGGAACCTCGCGTTTCCTGTTTTTTACTCTCACCTATTGTAAGTGTATGGAATACGTGTGAAAATCTTACTTATGAATCGGTATATTGCAAAAAGTTACGCAAGGATCAAGAATACTACTGACGACAATATACAGCACGGGGGCAGCTTTAGTGTCAACTATTACTGGTCGAGGTATAGTGCGTCTTACCGTTAAAGGCGACCATCTTGAATGATTTTAATGTACCAAGGAGGTGGGCGGCGGGGATTAGTAGTTTTGACACTCATGCTAGTTGGCAGCCCGTAACGCACAGCGCTCGATCTCGACGATATTACGCGAAAACAAGGGACTGTGAACAGTTTATATATTAATAGTCTCCGTGAACAGCTTTTGTTAATCACCTTTCGTATTTTCTTTGGAATTTGCTTTTCTTCATTCTCTTCGTTTTCGTCTGAATCACTGAGTATCACTATGGCTAAAAAAACCAGTCACATTAGGCATTATATAACGTCGTGGCTTTCAATCGGGCTGGCGGAGATAAGAACTAGACGGATTTTAAGGGAAAAGGCGGAATGCAAGCAGTCTAGAAAAAGTATGAATAAGAATGGTCTGCATTGGCAATATTTTAAAGGAACTGTACGTACCTTCCGGATCTTCCTTTCGCAAGAACGCCGTCGTGCCTGCATTCATACAGTTGTACGAATGGTGACACGTATGCAATGGTGACTCATGATCACGTTTTGCTCCTGCTGAGATTCTAAATGAAATTTTCCAGACATATCCCAGATTTCGCACCATATGTAATCACTGGTACTGTGACATTTGAAACATGATTTTAAAACAATTAAAAATCACAAACCATCAGTTGTTGCTTAAATTATAATCAAATTGTCGATGAGTTTCACAAGAGAGAGGAAACAAAATCAAACTTATATTCCAGCCCTCCCAACATAAGAGGACAGTGCGGTGGAAGTTTTGTGTTAAACTTAATGGTTGATGATACAAGGGAACAGGGGACCAGGGAGAGTAAGATTTTTGGGGGAAGTGGATGTTTTGTTCGATTCTCGTATTTCATGTACGTGACATGTTGTTGTCTCGCCTTATTTGAGACATTTATACCTTGTTTTAGATGGTTTTAGATTGTTTGCGAGTGGTTGTAGATGGTTGTAGGTGGTTGTTGAATTTTTTGAGGTGGTTGTAGGTGGTTTTAGGTCGTTCCATGTTTTAGTAACTACGGACCAGAGTCATATACAGGTGCTAATGTTTGTGAATCGAGTGTTGACAATGATGGACCAGGATGACAGTAAGAGATTGTTGGTGCAACTACATCCCTGTGCTCTTTAAGACCAAAGCGTTTCCCACCAAGGTAGAACATATAACCTTTCCTTGTAGCTAGTTCAGCAAGTGATTCACAATAACTGAACAGAGTTGGCCACTGCTCCCACTTTGTAACAGGGTTTGGCTGCGACAATTGCTCCGTCATAAAGGCATCAATGCTCTGATAAATCAAGTGTTCTCTGGCGATAATACCAGACCTAATAAATTGATTTAGCCAATGGGCTAAATAATCTCCTTCGACCTCTGTAACTGATATTTCATAAGGGCACTTACATGTAAAACCTTGAACAAGATTCCAACAGCAATGCATAAATACATACATACTTTATTAGTATTCCCCAGGGGGCTTTTCAATACTAAACAGCAAAGAACGTTATGATAAAAAATGAGTAAAATTGTAAAAAGCGGTCATTAATTAAAATAATTCTCTAGCATGTGCGTTTTCAACTTTTGTTTAAATGATGGTAAAGATAACTGTTTAAAGTCTTTGTCTAAATTGTTCCAAATGTTGACTGCTCTATGGAGGAAACGTCGCTGTCCTGACTTTGTCTTGCTTGGAGGAATATCAAGGGATTCTCTGTTTCTAGTGTTATGATAGTGAATAGACTCGTGTCTTCGGAGAGACTAACACAAATATGTGGGAGCTAGGCCCTTCATGCACCTAAACGTCATTACAGTGTCTCTGTAGTGGAGATGCTCATTTACTGGTAGCCATTTGATCTCGAGTAACGCAGGTGTTATTTGCTCAAATTTCTTTGTTTTTGTGATGATTCTGCACGCGAAATTCTGAACAGCTTGAAGCCTTCTTGACGTTTGTGGCAGTTGTGTTTGACCAAACTGTAGAGCAATAGAACAATTTGCTTAGGACTAGAGCGGAGATGATTGTGCACAGAGTGTCCCTATCAAAACTGTTCTTTACCCTGTTTATTTGACAAAGTTTGGTCATGCACGATGAAGTAAGTTGATGGATGTGTTGGTCATAGGTTAAGTTGTTGTCTAGAATTATTCCGAGATCCTTGGCACTGGAGACAGGTGTGATCTCTTTCCCCAAGAAAGAGATCGAGATTTTGCTCGGAAGCCTCTGCAGTAGTTGTTGTGTTCCGACCATAAGGAACTTGGTCTTTTCAGGGTTGATTAGTAGCTGATTTTTACAGCACCAGGCAGCCACTCATCTTAAATCTTCTTCAAGAACACGTTCTACAGACTCGGCATCCTTGACTGGAAAGGATAAGAAGATCTTAGAGTCGTCTACGTAGGACTCGAGATTGCACACTTATGGAGCAAGAGGAAGATCACTGATATAAATACAAAACAAAAGTGGTGACAGTATGGCGCCCTGTGGTACGCCATGGGTGATAGGGAGGGGTGTAGATAGGTGTAGATGTGCCAATACGGACCACCTGAGTTCTATCAGTCATGTAACTCTCAAACCATTTCGTGGTTTTGTCGGCGGCAACAAGGCTCAGCTTCTGTAATAATATAGAATGGCTAATACTGTCAAAAGCTTTTGATAGATCTAATAGTGTCAAGGCTGACAGTCTCTTATTGTCCATAGCATCTAATAAGAAGTCGCTGATCATAATATTAAGAGTCTCTGTAGAGTGGTATTTACGATTACCACTTTGATGTTTACTAAGGAGGCCGTTACGTTGTAAATAATTGCTGAACTGTTGGAGTGCTACCTTCTCGCAGATCTTTGAAGCAACGGCAAGCATCAAAAGGGGGCGATTATTTGATGGCTCCTCGTGATCTCCATCTTTCAGTAGTGGTATGACCTCAGACGCTTTCCAGGAGTTTGGAAAGGTAGAAGTTGCGAAAGAACAGTTGATGATGTCCGTCAAAGGGCCAAGGATAACAGGAAGGCACTCTTTGATGATGCGCATGCTGACTTTGTCGGGGCCAGGAGACTTATTAGAAGGCATAGATGATACAATACGTTCTACCTACGTACAGGTAACAGGTGTGAAGTTGAATAGTTCCTCAGATTAGTTTCTGGTCATTGGTGTTGAAATTAGACTTGTATCTGAAATATTGATGTTGTTAGCGTTTCTCCCAACAGAGGAGAAAAATTGGTTGAAATCGTTAGCAACTAGCTCAGTGTCTCTACTATAAACCCGAGTTTCTTTTTCTTTGGATGGAATACAAGTATTGATTATTTTCCACAGAGATCCAGGGTTATCTTTGTGTGATCGGACCTTAAGAAGTTGTTTTACAGATGTCCGGGCTTCCTTGTACGCCTTCCAGGCGTCTGCATTTCGGCTTTGTTGGTAACAACTTCCGCTTCGTTAGCACTTTTTCGCTTTAGCAGAAAGCGATCCATATCATTATCCGATTATAGTGTTTCGATCGACGAAGAAGCAGAGTAAGTCATATGGCATTTGTTATCTCGTCATGCGCACTACAAAGATTGCATCATCTCGTTTTTATTGAGTAGAGTCTGGTAACTACCGCATATACCGTGCGAGTCCCATGCGAGAACTCCGATGAACTGAACGAGTGAGCACGCATGCTGGTGGAAAATGGATGGAAATATTATTCAAATTGATAAATTATGAATTATTGAGGTTTTTCTTGCCTGTCGCCGGCGACAGGCATCAATATTTTTTACCTGTCACTTCCTAAAATTACCTGAAATCGACAGGTAGACAGGTATTATTTCGAACCCTGGTAATCACATCGGTTTTATTCGCTGCAGCCCAATCCCTGAGCTCAATTATTAAAATGCGATGGACTACGGAGGGAACGAATGTTCAAGTGGACAATCTTGAGCTTTGAAGTTGTAAGTATATATTCCAGAATCATACTCTATATTGAACCTTTCACTCATTCTGGCTTCTTTCTATGCATTGAAGTGTTGTAAAATAACTGAGTAAACTCAAGCAAGAGCCTTTCAATCCAAAAACTTAACAGCAACAAGAGACAACATAAATTTTTTAAATATCTTCAAAATCATGTTGAAAAGGAAACAAACGAAATGCGACCAGAAATTTAACTATCTATAACCGTCACACATCACTTACAAGTCAAGTATTGTAGTATGCACGTCACGCGAATCAATTGACAAAACCAGCATCCAAATGAAATAAACAAATCAGGTTACATGCATATGAGAAAATTAAAAGCCTCGGTCATCCTTTACATAAATATAAAACAGTACAGTATGTCTGCCCCACTCTCCAGAAGCTCTGAGATCAGGTAATACACCTTTTAAGAGTTCTATCAAAGTACTCACGAAAGACTCTATCACAAAATCTGTCACATATATACTGTCAACTTGAGTGTGTGCTTTTCTTCATATACTTGAATCGACTAAGAGATTTTTCCGAATATTGTCTCCTGTTGCTGATTTTTGTATTGAAATTAAAACCAAAAACACTCAAGCATGTTAAGACATGACTCAATTTTTGGCATCAACCACATGCAAAGTTAGAACTGTCTTTCTTTGTGAACCATGCGATAAATTGTAAAAGTTGCTAAAAACTTATTTTAATGTATTGAAAAGATTAGAGTTAAACTGATGTGGCCAAGAGAGATATGACAACATGATGTTATTAAAAAGAAAATTGTAAATGGGGAAGAAATGGTTAATTAAAAGCAAGACCCGACCATGGGTAAATGTTTGGTTTACCCTTTAAAAAATTTATGTGGCTGGAACAGCATAAAACGTGTCATGTGACTTGTTTCACTCACATCAATTTTTAATTGAATTAAAATGAGAGTATACCAATCTAACCAGTTTCATGCAATGACAAAACATTGTATTGAATATGTACTCTGTGGTATCTCGCCACCAAATTTTGAATCTTGAAGTTCATTTGTTTCCTGGACTTCACTATGCATGTAGCTGGTCATGCGACACAAATACCTGGTTTCTTATACTTGTATTTTACCATTGTAGCCAAAACTAGACAGGCTCTGGTAACTTTTTACAAAGTTATGAAAATTCCAAGATTTTATGGAAATTAGGCTCAAGTCATGTCCTAACATGCTTGAGCAATATGAATTTTTTTATCGAAACTAGAAAATAGTATTTTGTGCTGCAACAAATTTAACTCTCAAGTGAGAGTGCACATTCAAAATGGGACCAACAGACAAATGTAAGATTCTCCTGTACAGTTGTTGTTTATTGGTAAAAAAAAGATGTTGAAATTTTTAACAACTATACAAAATCAATTCAAGTGAAATGTTCAGATTTACACCCCTCAAGGGCTGCTAAAGTTCTTTAGTGATCAGCATCAATTTTCTCCTTGCAATATATTTTCTTATTTAGAAAAAAGGTTATGAGAATTAAGGATATGATCATCGAAAATGAATTACTTTGATGTTTTTGCAGCTTCCACTCATAGTGCTAATTAAAGGTTTGGTTACCTTGTACCACAGTTACAAGCTTTCTTGCCTGTTGCAAGGTGCACAGAGAGCCAATCAAAATTAAGAATTTGTTATAAATATGATTAGCTTGTTTTTGTCTTGAGAACTTAATTAAAAGTCACAATGTGATACATGTAGTTTTCATGAAGCTCAATAAACCTTTTTATGCTATAACCTAGTGCTCAGTGAAAAGCCAGGGCTTTAATAATTAAATCACCTATATTTAAAAAGATGGAAATTGTGTCATCGCACCAGCTCTAAGACAGGTCACTAAGTGTGGGCGCATTTTGGCAATGTCATAAGTCATGTCTTGTGGTGTAGATCCTAAAACAAGACTTGTTGCAAAAGCAATGGCGAATGCCCCGCAATCACTGCCATTTGTTTGCTGTTGGCAAGGGGTATACTCTAGTTTCTGAAAGCTGTCTGCTAATAGGTCTTTGACCTGATCTTCGACTTCTTGTGAGATTATGTCATGATAAAAACTATCAAAAAGTTTGACTGTTCCAGGGGGACATCCTATTGAGCTGACACACACCGAGTGATCTTGTCCTGTATGCAATAACTGCACAAATTCACCAGAAACTACGGCGTTGAAAACCTTCAATCAGAGGGTTTATTTTCTGCAAAAGTACCTGTGCACTATGGATAATTGCACTGTCAAGCCAACCATGTGGGGACATAATCAGCTGATAATCTTGTACATCAAGATTTCTAAGTGAACGATATCTTTCAGATTCACAAGTTGTAACCATGGTAATTTCAATGTCATCAGCCCTTTCCCCTTCATTGTCAGAATCTTGTGCACTGTACATGTCAAGTTCAATGAACTCAGGTTCACTATCATGGGATTGAGAAGAACAAGTGGTAGTTGTAACTGGGTTTTCCTGACCAGTTGATCCTGAAACTGCAGAACTGTCATGAAATGGCTTTGCATTGCTTTTCTTGCAGTTGGTGCATTTCCAGGTGGTCTTGCTGTTCGGCATTTTCTTGTAACCGAGGCATGTCAAGTGAAAAAATTTTCCACTTTGACAATCTTTGCTGTGGCACTCAAGTAATTTGTCAGATTGTTGTGGCACTGCTTGGCAAATACAAACAATGTCAAGAGAAAGCGCGGCCCATTATTTATGAAAAAGTTTTCTTCACTTTTCTCAAATGCTTAAACTGTGGAAGCCTACAGCAGTGTGGGCAATACCACCCCCTGGGAAGTGGGGTTGAAATTGCCAAACAAGATAGATGAAATTCAACAAGTGGGCATTGAGGGTTTCCACATTTCACAGTGTTTCCATCTGATGGCATTCTGCAAAAGCATATTCCAGCACCTGCTTGTGGCATCTCATCAGACATATCGCACTTTCTTGAGTACCATCTGCCTAAAATTTCAGGCAAAATGTATGTCCCCCAGAAAGTGGTAGGTTTTGGCAAAACAGCATTCATGTGACCATGGTCAGGGTAAATTCTTTCTTTCACAATTGTAGCACAATGGAAACTGTCAAGGCGCAAACAACAAAGTCATTGTACTTTCTTTCTGGTAATGTAAAAAGCTGTCGTTGGACTTGAAAAAAGTAGTTGTGGCTTCGCTTCAGCTGGAATTTGCCCGCTACCTTTTCCAGACAGGAATTCTTTTTCAACACATAACTATCAAAGTCACACCTGTCAATACATAAAGGACATTTCACTTCACCACATCCCAGTCCACAGCATGAGCTGTGTGTCTCTCTCAATTTGCAAAATTTCTTCACTTGACAAACAATTTTCTACACTAAAGCATTTCTTTAGTAAGTCAGTATATGACAGCTTTAAATTCTCGTCGTCAAAAAGGTCTGGGATTGTTGGGATACTTCTGCTTTGTGACACAAACTGGCTAGGGTAAGGCTCGATGAGGCTCAAAGCCACCGGTTTAATTCTCGATTTGTTTAGATTTGCATTTGACAAGAGTAGTCCTGAAATCAATTTATACTTAATATTTCTGTTTCACATATTAAATCTCCTTTATTCATTACTGGTCTTGGCTCTAAGTCCAGAAAGAGTTCCACTGCAAATGAAAATAAACACCACCCTATAACCAATACAGGCTGGCTCCATTATATTAAACCAGGTTGGTCTATTTGCGACAAATTACATTTAGTAAGAAATGGTGATTCTATAAAGTGTTAAGTGTTAGCTACCATAGAGTATTGATGAAAGATCAACATACTTTGACAGATACAGCCTTTTCATTTCTGGGTTAAAACCAGACATTTCACCCATTGTTGGTTTAAGTCGTGGACTGGAACTGAGTTGACGAACTGGAACTGTGTTTGAGAACTCTGTCTTAAATCGCACAGCTGATCCATATTTTAGTCCAAGGTTTCTGAAAATGCTGGCATCCGCTTCTCTTTTAAGAAGATCCGCAATTGCTGAGAAGTGTGTTATTTCCTCATCTAGGCGTGAAACACACAAGGAAAACTTTGCAACCATAACTCATATTCAAATAATGCATGTCTCAATGTGAAGTCAGTTGGGTGAGGGGATAAAGCAGAGCATAGAAAATTTTGTCATTCATGCACAATTTTGCAGCTTAGGACTGTTTTTTAAATCTTACAACACAAAGAGAGTGACTTCCATGATAGAATTATGCAAACAAAGACAGGTTTCCATGCTTGTTCAGGAACAAAATGCAACACTGAATTGAATGGGATGCAAACTACGTCTGGAAGGGGTATTTTGAATAGAAGAACGCCAAATGCATGGCCGCCGAAAACCGAGTGGCTCTTTGTGGCTCTTTAATTAACCCATTAAGCACCAGCCGTTTTCATAGGCTTTCTAAAATTTGGCAAAATATTTCCAACCCCATGTGCAGTAAAAATACAGAACTTACCGCGCAAAAAGAACAACACCCCTTTGGTCTAAAACAGTTAA